CGCATCATACTATATTTAGCAACACCTCCCAACCATACGCTTGGCGCTCACATCAATCCCTCCAGTGTTGTACGGTGCCGAGCTCTTTGGTAACATGACTGAGCTATCTGAAAATCGGTCTTAAAAGGTTGAGCCATGGTTACAAGATTAGCAATGTTATACTTCATTCCAAACTGTGATATTCCATCGTACGGTGGTGCAATGTGTGGCCCATCGTCTTGTGTGGCGCACCTGATTCATGAAAGTCCGGGGAAACATTCGATGGGTCGCGGCATATGAGTATCAAATAGAGCCACTCTTGCGTCGATCGACTCCTAATTAAATTGCGAGTCTGTGACCCTTAACCCCTAGTGACTACAAGGGTCTATACCGTCATCCGATTGGTGCCATTGGCCGAATTCCGCGATATACCTTACTAAGATTATCTTAGTTCATGTAGGTGTAGAACCAACAGCCAGTGTAAGTTGCACTAGTAGTTACCATCGCACCCAGATGACACTGGAACTTTGCCTTCTCAAGGCTGCGTTTAAAAAAAGAATGATCGTCAGTAACCAAGTTGCACCTTTCAGCTACGATTTGCTGGGGGTGATCGCCCCTGATAAATCCTTACATACAAGATTAAAGGAGTTCATCTTGGCAAGTCGTCATCTTTTGGTTTGGGATCTGTTGAAACATGATGAATAACGCCTCGTTCAAGCGCTACCTGAGCTGAACTTGACAGACGTGATAGGAGATGATCTGATGTTTCTTTGCTCCCGACCGTCTATTCACCGTAGATCGATGATGATGATAGGTTTCGAGGTCGTTGGTATGTCTGTCAACTTGTAGTTCCGACTTGAGAGACTTACAATAGCCCTGACAATGAGACTCAAGCCAGAGTCCGGCTCATCATACACTTATTCCCAAGATCGCCGAGCAGTTACCTATACAGTTGCGTCGTATCGCAGGTTTCTGTCGAGCTTGTGAAGGTTCTGGGATATTAGCATGCATCAAACTGAAAGTTCCGCGATCGTCGGATTTCTAGACAGAAGGGATCGACAAGTTTCTAGTGCACAAGGACCATACTGCAGCCCATGCTGCGCCGCCGTGGAGCACTCGCCAAGCTGTTCGACCATCCTACAATATCAATAGTGATGGCATAGCGACTCAAAATAGTTCCGTTGAAGTCAGTGTCTGAGCACAACTGAACTGACGTCAGTACCACAAAGTTCTTCAGAGCGGAACTGCATCTTCATAGGGTTCTACACTCTTAGATAGAAACTAGAAAATCTGATTATAAAGATCTTCAACATCCCACAGCTAGATCCTAAAACTACATCGCATCATCAAACAGTCTCGAGCACAAGTCACTAGAGTTCTTCTCCCTACAGAATCGCCAATCCGAGGTTCACAAGGTGCTTTCTTTCACTTTGTTGTTCTTGATTTCGGACAATCCATCATCACACGACTGCAATACATTCCCACTTGAAGCAACTGAAGCTGCCACTATTCCGTTGTTTATCAAGATGATTTCCCAACTATTCATCCTAGGGACATTGACTTTACAGGCATCAGCCTCAAGTCTCCCCATATGGCAGCGAGATGGAGGTGTTTCCAATTATCAGGGACCCGGTCAGCTCATCCAAGACTTGAGGAACCCAAGAAAGACGCCCTCTTTGAGACCACGGACTAGCACGTTGCATACCAGGGCTGTGGATCAAGACAAGGCAGAACAGTTACTGGGTGCAGACAGCATCGTGGACTGTCCACCAAACGGCATGACAAGCTGGGACAGCGCTGTTGACGCCGCAACCTTGTTCGTCAACAGCCTCGGGGCCTCCCCGATGACCTTACAGCCCGGTATTTGTTATCACCAAGAGGCTTCAAATACTTTAGCACAAGTATGCAACAAGGGTACCACCCCTCTCCAGATTACCGCAGAAGGGGCTCAGATCGGATTCGACGTCATCGAAGAGACCTGTACAAGTCAAAAGTCGTCCGGCACTATTCGAACATCAACGGGCCTCCGTTACGCCATTCATGCCAAGGTGCCCGTCCGCTCTCGTAGCTTGGACAAGCGCGCATCGAAACGGCCAGTCAAACGATGCCTCGACTCAAGTACACAGGAGGTAACGGGATGCGAAGACGTCGTGTGCACGCCCGCCATCTCGTTGAATGAGAGTGGTGACTGTCCCAACGTAGGGAACGACGAGACTGATGGGTGCTCGTACTACTGCGAAATAAAGGCAGCAAAGTACTATGGGGTACCTGAGGTTTACGACGATACAAGATATTGCGCTGTAAGTTGTCATCGAGCTATGCGCCTCCGTTTCGATTCGTTAGCTAACTCTGTACCGTTAAGGGCAATGACTGTTACCTCGAGGAAGGCGAATCATTCACAGTTGAGAAGTCATTGTCGGTGAGCTTCGGCCTTGAGGGAGAGGGTCCGATCGAGTCTGTGCTCAGTGCTGGCATAAGCTTTGGGATTGCTGTTTCAGAGTCGACCTCACTCACGCAAGGGTTCAACTTCGGCGAGGGTGCTTGTGGTTATTGGTAAGTCGCCAGTATATTCCTGTCGAATTGTACCAAGTATTTACTCTCCTCTAGGTACAAGGCGCCGGTGATGCTTCACAGCTGCGGAACATTGTCAGAGTATGAACCCAATTTTTCTGGTGATGCCGGGCCGCTCTACTGCCTTTCGGACGCGCCTTTCTCCAAGTCCACGCCCAATGTCTGTAGCGAGATACAAGCCACATCTATCAATAGCGACGATGCGGATGTGGTGGTCATTCCGAGATGGGTCAACTGCGGCGACAGGACTGATCTTCCTGACGATGAGAACTCGGACGCTTGGAAAGACACCTACGCTGGGCAGAACGATGAGGTTCACAGTTGTTAGGTGTAGTTCGAGCATACGTTGCCCTTTTCTCCTAATCATGGTTTTTCAATCTACTCTTGATACCTCAATGTATTTCTAGTATGCCTCATGGAGTTTGTCCAGCGATTTCACAAAATATTATGTTTCGGTTCGAATGACGAGTGTAGTGGTCCCGCAATCTTCACTCCAATGATGCGACTCTTTACCCAGACAAGATCTGAGCAAGTAACTATCATCAACCAAGAGCAACGCCGAACTTGCATATCGAACGAAATTCTGCAGAACCCAAGAGTATCAAGGTACAACTATTAGCAATAAATACTAGTGATTACCGAGAACGCCCTCAAATGAACACGCCCACCAAGCCTATTTGTATCAATATATAGAACAAGAGACATGGAGGGATGATGGGAATTCTGGCTTGTCGTCGCCAGCGTATGCTCGACGGTGTTTTCCGGACTAGTCCAATTAGTAGAGGATATTCACCAAGTTGCGTTGCTGAAATAAAGCACGCAAGAGTAGGGTGTTTTCTGAATATGTATATTCGAATCCGAAATTCAGCCTATCATCATGGCGAAAGCGAAACATTGCTGAGCTACCTACCTAGGCGATGGCAGATGGTAAACCCAGAAAGAATTATCGCCAAATCGAACCATTGCAGAAACGCAGTTGGCTGTCTAGCGCCGAAGTAGATGTAGCGGACCCCGCACGAAGTCCCAATCCCGAGACTGACCATCCAGTTCGCACCTGTAAGTATAAGTGTCAGTGACATTTAATGGTGTTGATGTCAGTAGATCCATAAAGTTCGTCTGCTACAGTTGTGCATACCAGTAGGGGCCGACTACCGAGAGTTTGTCGCACCCAGGAGCGGCCGTAGCATTGTCTATCCTTTTGCAATATGTCTTGAACGATGCCCCGCCCCCACCATCACAGTATAGATCCATAAGGTCACTGATGAAGTTCCCACACCATGGCCAGCTGGGAACGTCGCACGCCTCGAAGAAATATAGTATCGGATAGACCACCAATCAACATCGATCAATCATTAGAAATGATGACTAATAGGAGAGATGGCCGAGTGGTTATGGCGCTACGTTCAGGTTTCTGAGCAAAGAAAAATCGTAGTGGAGCAATCCGCGTGGGTTCGAGTCCCACTCTCTTCAACAGTTTTCTCTTTTTTCCATGTTTCGCGCAGACATCAACTTTTGATTCTCTACCTTTGCTACGACTAAGAACACTATCGAGAGGGTTTTCATAAACGCATCACACCTTCAACAAATGTTTACCACGCTGTTTCTATTTTTGCCGAATTTCAAAGACAATGCATACCGCTTTTGCACCTCAACGGCTCACAGGCGAGGCTATCGCGGAAATAAGTTGGACACTACGCACCAACACACTTGCCTTTTTACAGCCCGTCAACACTGCATCATTTCTAGAATATGCTCTATGTCTTTAATATAGATATCTGCAGTAGCTATTGAATTAATTATCGTAGTTGTTTCATACGAACTGTCATATTAATCTATTTTTTTACAATTATTATGAAGCGAAGGTGTGGCATTGAAACAAACCATATTCGTAGGTAGAGTGTCCAACTTATTTTCGCGATAGCCTCGACAGGCTCGACAGAGGTAGCGACCTGACAAAAATGCAGCAGCGCTTGTGTGTCACTGACACCCACCAAACCCGCATACAAACCCACATCAAACGGCGCCACTGCAAGCCCGAGTCCATTCACAGAAAATGTCACGCCTGACATCGACCGACTCCTGGCTCGTTTGTCAAATCTCGTGAAATGTCTGGGTCAATTTATTCTTATTTTACGCACGTGAAACATCTTATATATCCCTGTTTACAGGCTCAGTATGTCGCAAGCACGCAGACTTTCATACTGGAACACCGCGTTGTGAATTTTATACGACATCATAAAGGTCGTCACTTCATTGAAAGAGCGCCGGGCTGTTTTGGCAACGGATAATATCGTGTGTAATCCGTATAACAGTGCGACCATTGAATGATCCCTATAATATTTCTCCTGTGACTCATGCTACCGGGCCGATTTAACATTGAGACCCCATTTGTCTTTTCAATCATAGGCTACGATAATCAGCCTGCCAATAAGTCAATAACCAAATATCCAAGCTAGCTAGCTCAGTGGAAGAGCGCCGGGCTCATAACCCGGAGGTCGATTGATCGAAACAATCGCTAGCTAATTATCTCTTTTGCATTTTTGCGGTTTGTGCTTCTCAATGTGCTTCCATGTTGTTTCTCGTCCCTTGCGCCAACCTCATCTCGTACTTATAACGTACCTATAACTTAGCCATGTCACAGTCGTATGTGTAATTTACAATACCTTTTTCTGAATATTTTTGCTTCTATGTGTGACTATCGTCTGGTTGAAACAGAAGAACGAAGCATGATTAAACTCTGGGATCTTCGAATACTCATCTGTCAGAGTGCTACTAATTGCATTGACAAATTGGCAATACCCAGTTGAAGCACACTCTGTGGTCTATATATGGATCACTCATCCAAAGAAAAAATAAAAACACAGAGACTTGACCATATGGGCTCTCCGTGTGCGGTCAACATTGCTGCGAGTCATGGTTTTGCAACATACGACACAAAGAAGACTGAGCTCGGCACTCGATATGGCAGTCAAGAACAAACACCAAGTGTATGAAATCAGAGGCCGAATATGCTGAACCGTGACCGGTCTTTGTTTCGCGACCATTGGTTGCCAACTATTAACTTCCTCAACAATCCCTGGGTAACTTTTCCGCGCACACAAGGAGGACTGTACGAGTTACATCAATGTCTTCAAGACCTTGGAGACTGTCCAAAGGAACGCTTTTACGTTGCTACATATGTATGCATGTATCATATTTGTGACATGGACATATGCCTGACAGGTAGCATGAGCTGAAATCCTTTCTCGGCATATACTCGCATGGCATGACAGGTCAACTCAAGTTCGCACAGAGAGATATCACATAGCAATCGTGCCGAATGCAGGTGACGGATCCCTAATGCTGCTCTTTACATTAATGGTTCCAGTGTGAGTCCTCTGTAGAGAAGTGATAACGGGAATGCATTTCTTCAGCTCGACTGAGCGAACACTGCATCTTCGCTTTAGGCTAAGGTGTCCCTTAGACCATAGTGGTAGAGGAATATCACATAGCTAGTGGCATCGGAAGTAGGACGACAGGAAGGGGTGGCAATGCGAGCTTGGTGTGATCACTTCGCATCGAGCGTGACGTGAGCACCCCGGTGAGGATTGATACAGGTAGAGGAGTAAGCCATACGGTGATACGGCATGCGCGTCGCGATCTGCTGAGGTAGTAGACGTGTATCGAGTCGATATCGTCACCCCGCCTTTGCAGTCATAGGGCTGTTTCTCGAGTTGCATCACTGACGGCATATGTTGCATTGGCGAGTATCTACAACAGGCGCGGTTTGCGCCCAGGAAAGTGTAGGACGACACAAATGTGCGGCACAGAGGTTTCGAAGCTCCGGGAAATAATCTACTTGGTCGGGACGGAAGCGGTCTTGTACCCTAAGTACGACTCAACGATTACGATCGGTGTATAACGGGGATTGTTATCAGGAACGCAGGACCCGATCCCGATGTATAACACCGACTCGCATGGGTCTTGTGGAAATGGGGTAGCGCTCTGTCAAACAATCGTTTGAGCCATGTTGCTTTTTCAAACAGGGGAAAGAGCATGTGGTCTGAGTTCAAACAAAGGGACGCATCGCTATTCGTTCCTTGGTGGAATGGGGCGTGCAAGTGAGGCGAGCGGAGGAGCCCAACCGCGAGTTGATTCGAAGTGTGTTGCATATGTGGCTAGGCAACAACGCATGCATCAGCGTCTCTTCAATAAATGTCGTTCCTCGAAGTCGATCGGTACCAGTATGCATCTCGATGCTTATGGCAATGTGGAATGGTTCCACAGAAGGGCGAGTTGAAGCCTGAAGCGGAAGAAGGCTGGCCTGGTGCTCTACGTATAAATAGATGGCTACTTCGTCCTCTCCATATCCAGCATTCATGATTGATATACACCCGAGCAGGACTCCCCGTGGTTGATGCAGGCGGCTGCGTGAACATGTCATCCGTCCCGATGAACAAATACTGGATTCCCAACCTCGAAATCAGCAAGAAGGTCCTCACGCAGGAGCTCCAGTATTACCTTGGGCCCGAGGCAACCGTTAGACCGTACACTCGCGAAGTAGGATCACCAACGGCAATTCTCTCAAATGCACTGCTCATGGATGTGTCTGCAGGGTGAAGATGGCTTTCTCATCACCACGCCCGGGCCCTGTTTGAGCGACGTTCGTGAGCCACACATCCTTCTCGAAGCTTTAGGCCATTAATTCCCCCTCAGGAGCAAATCGACGATATCTGTTTGAAGTCAAAAGAGTTATGGGATAGACAGGCTGCAGCAAAGGTCCAGCAATCACAAAGCAAGGTACTCAAACGTCCATTACACCAGCCAGTCCTCATCTCGAACCCTGGATCTGGCCAGAAGCACCGCAATAACCGGAGAGGTGCGGTCTCGAAGCGTGTGCATAATGATAGAAGGGGTGGTGAGGCACTGCGGAAGTGAACATTCCGCGTAATCATGACCGAGTGAACGGAGTGATACCGGCAGTTCGAGCCTATCGGATCCTAGAATGTTGGTAGATTACGGAAGGGACAATTGACGGATTCATTGACTCGGTCGATGTTGGCGAAGAAGGCGAACATGATAGGAGAAATTGGAAATAGAAGAGATGTCGTCCAGCGAGGGCATGCCATCTGGCCTTGCTGCCAGAGATGTGGAGACAAGCACGGGAGCTTCATCTAAACCAATAGCCGCACGCAATTGACACATTCCGCATACTCGTGCTGGTGAAGCGACGATCGAAAGCCTAATCCGGCGATAGGTGTGTGACTGTTGTAGAGAACCATGGTAGATCGATGGTGTTCTCGCTCCCACATGAGCTTGGCGGTCGATGTTCCAGAACGATATGGAGACAGGACAGCTGATGCAGGTCCTGCTGGCAACAAGTCGCTTGCGAACTATCGATTAAATGAACGCTGGCGGGCTAGATGGAGAGATGGTGTGACATATAGCTTCTCGATCACCAGTTGTATCATTGATCTCGGCTCGCTATATGTTGCTATCTCCAAGAAACATTATACCGATCGTGGCACACTGCCGTAGTCGAGTGCTAGCAAAAATAGCATCATACTACATCATCTAGTGTGGTAAAGATTGGGCATGCCGCCGAACTGAGGACTGCCAAAGAGTAGACCTCACTCAGTCGGCTTCAGCAAGCATAGAACGCTCGTATTTTTCGATGTCGAGGTCTCGAGCTGTCCATATAAGGAGCGCCTGGATACTGACGGCTGACCCCGTCTCGCAGGTCGCAACCTTTTGAGCAGCGAGCTTTGGGTTTGGTTCAGTGGCCGTGATGTATCCGATGACATGTATCCATTGGCCAACGTCCGTCTGCTCTGCCTTGATCGTGCTCAATAGAAGTTTTACATCCACTTTGGCCACTTCATTATTTTCTTTGGGGCAATTATGTCTGAGGGTCAGTTGTCCCGACTTGATCGAATACGCTTCTACACTGCGAGAGCGTTAGTTGATATGCACAGCACAACCAATGTCATCTTCGCGCAGCACAGGAGAAAGGTGTCAAGAGTAGGCCCCAGGCAATGAAATGACAGCCATCACGACAAGGAGAGAGTGCATGTCTTACCATCCCATGAATCTGACTTTGTCACCGATTTGTTTGGTACAGAGTTTTGATAGCAGGCATCGTTCTGACGGGAGCGGTGCCGAAGACATAATGGAGCAGTTTAGGAATCTGCAGGTCGCTTCACATGTGTACCGGTCACTACAAAGGCGCGACGGTGGGAATATGAGCGACGGGCAGTGTCATGTTAGAGGTACATGTAGGTATCCAGTCGTCAATCGGATATTAGATACCGGGCACAAGGTTGGGACAAAGCTTTTGAGTGTCGAAAACCTTTAGATTCCCATGACCAAAGCATGTAATCGGTAGGCTCCGGGTATGAGCATGGAAACATTGAAGCAAAGTTGCATGCTGAAGTGATTCTTCTCTTGTGCTGGACAGCAAGACGGAGGACTCTTGGTCGATGTCTCGATTGCCGTAATTATTTAGGTACACGTAGGTACGGGCGCCACCTGCTGGTTTCTGGCTCCAGCGGACGGTAACCGGCAGCGAACTCAAGGTCACATGCTTGTACCTGGCATCGGCGAAAACGGCTAGGGCTGCAATTGGGGGCGAGAAGCCCTATTCATTTCAGCTGTCAGTTAGTAGGGACAGTGGGCATTGGGCAACTGGACAGGGCATCAGGCTGAAGACCAAGTACGGATGTACCTACAGTGACCACGCGGGCAGACCTTGGGACCATTTGCATCATCGGCCGACAAGGCACCTGTTGCTCCCTATCACTCCACCTCCCTTATCTGCTGCACCGTCACCGTCACCGTCGCCAGGCTTCCTCCATTCCCATCGCCCACCTACGTCCTCGCCCTCCATTACCTCACTACGCCGTTACAGCTCATCTAGTTTGTTTCTGGTTGCCTAATTCCAGCTTCTTCCGAATCTCCGACTGCAGCTCCCTCTTCGAGCCGTCGCCCCATCGGTTCTCTACCCCGCCACCGACTTCTTTGAATCATCGTCAAGCGTCCGACCTCGACGGCCATCGCAACCGCCTCTAGAGCTCCTTCACCATCAACCCCTTGCTGTTGGGGATCTGATCATTCGTGGTAGAGTCGCATATCCAGTATCATCACCATGTCTGGCGTCTGGGGCTGGTTTGGCGGCGGTGGTGCCGCCCAGAAGAAGAAGGACTCGCCCAAGAATGCCATCCTCGGCCTGCGCACCCAGCTTGAGATGCTGCAGAAGCGCGAGAAGCATTTACAGACCCAGATGGACGAGCAAGAAGCCATCGCCCGGAAGAACGTCAACACCAACAAAAATGGTAAGCTATCACAACTTTGGGAAATGTTGCCCATTCCACATTCGCTGACGCCCATGCCCGAACAGCTGCCAAGACTGCCTTACGGAGGAAGAAGGCCCACGAGAACAGCTTAGATCAGACTATCGCGCAGATCGGCACTCTCGAGCAGCAGATCAATGCGATCGAATCCGCCAACATCAATCGCGAGACCCTCGCCGCCATGGAAAGAGCTG